GAGTTTTTTAGTATTAAAAATATAATTATAGCATTTTTTAATAATTATTTTATATTTATTTTAGTGTAAAACATCTTATTATATAAGGGTAAATATAAAAAGATAGTATTAGTTTAAAGATAAATATTAATTTCTTTATTAAGATGAGATTCGATTAAAATGTCTTACATTTTTTTAATACAAATGATATATTTTTTTTATATACCTATATTTAAACTTATTAACAACAAAAAGTAATATAAAATTAAAATTTTTTTCTTTAAATAAAAATAAAATTAAAAAATTTTTATTCTATTTTAAATAAAATAATAATTTAACTATTTTTTTTATGTAGAAGTATCTTATAATAAATTTGAGAGAATATATCTGAAATTTTAAAAAGGGGGAGAGGACAGAGGAGGGCGATCATTACAGGGTTTTTTGAGAGAAGCCAAATATATTGACTAATTTGCCCCTCTCTATTTTATTATATTTCACAAATACGTGTAGGTAAAGAAAATAAAATAATGCTCGACTCTGTTTGCTTATTATCATTGAAGCCTGAGAGTCCCAGCATCGTCTCGTCCTAACCGTCAAGCTTTCTCTGGGGAGTTTGAAGAGATCATGATTCTTCCACTGCATTGGGATTCTGTTACTCGCCTTGTTGCAAGAGTGGAGAAGGGCATAAAGTGGGTTAATTAGAAGGAGGGTTGGAATTTGCTAATGAGGATTAGACTTCATGCCTCTAGCCAAAAGTGTATAGGTGGGTCATGATTTCAGGGACAGGATTAAGGTTTAATTTTATTTTTATATTTATTTTTTAAGAGTATTAAGCACTCTATATTCTTAAGTAGGATAATTTTACCCTGAGTTATTTTTTCAATGAGCAAAAAAATCCCTCTATTAAGGAACCATTAACTTTGCCGTTATATGCTGATGTGACAAGTGTTTGGACCCATACACAATGATATGTAAGACTTTGATTATATTTTTTGGTGCTAGTTTGCCTTTTAACTCTTTTTCTAGAAATGCTGGTTATCTTGAAGTCTTATTAAATTAAAATTTAATGAATATTATTAAAATATTAAGTATTGTAATATTTAATAATTTAAATGTTATTATTTAAAACACTACCCCACCCAATTTAATATTTTTAATATTTTGTAATTTTGTATTAAAAAATGAAGAGAATGAACCTCCAAATTAACGAAAGAATTTTTTTTCCTCATATTTTCATTTTTTCTTATTAAGTAACTTTTTATAGCACATTAATAAAATAAGCGATATCTTTCAAATAATATTTTTATTGTCATTTTGTTGATCCTGATTGTCATACTTTTGATTTTACTTTTAACACTGTAATGTATATATTGTATTAAATTTTGGGAGCGTAATATTTTAGAAAAAATTATTAATTGACTAAAAAAAATTAAAAAATTTAATCAATATTAAAAATATAAGTAAGTTCTAACACGCATGAAAAGTATAATGATTTGAGCATTTCTTGAAAAGGAGATCGAAAATTAATATATAAAAAATAAAAAGTCATCTATAAATTTATAAAATGCTAGTTTAAACTATTAATATTTAAAAATTAATTTATAAATTTTGAATAAATATTTATAAATAATAATATTTAAATTATTAAATATGAAAATATATAATATTTTGGCAATATTTATTAAATTTTATGTTAATAAGATTTAAGGTGCTCAATGCTTCTAAAAAAGACTTTAAGGTGTCCAACGCTCCTGAAAAAAATAATTTAGGGGTAATTAGTACCAAAGGATATAATTAGAGTCTTATTTGTCGTGTGAGCCCCCATGGATATATCATGTTAGTATATACTGACAGAGTTAGCAGTTTATTAACGAAGAGGGTTTTTGCTCCTCGAAAGAAAATAATTTAAGGATAAAGTTGTCCTACTTAAGAGTATAAACTATAAAGTGTTCAATACTTCTAAAAAATAAGCATAGAGATAAAATTAGATCTTAACCTTAGGAATAAATCCATTGAGGTTAGAGGAGGTCAAGTTAATGCCCAGGCAAAAAAAAAAAAAGAAAAAAAAACAATGGCATTAGACAAAATAGCAACTAATATGTGTGTATGTAAATATAATAGTAAATTAATCATTATTCCCTCTTCCTTTTAAACCAAACAAATGATCATTAAAAATCCTTATCCTCCCTTTCAATAAAATCAAACAAGATAATAAAAACAATCCCTTCTCCACCCCTCTTCTTCCCTCCCCTTGAACCAACCATAATTTAAGTTATTCTTGTAATTAATGAAATTAATTTGTACAGTAAAAAAAATGATTTCATGGCAGATAATTTTTGAAAAAAAAACATGATAAATACTTGAAATTTATAATTTTACTTATAAATAGAAATAAAAAAAATATATGATAGTTTATATTATAATTAAAAACGGAAGAATAGATGGTATGATTATAGGTTGTTTGGTTGTTCAATTTTGTCTTTAGCATTGTGTTACATGTTTTATTTGGCTCATATGCATAATGCAATGTGTATCAGGTTGGATATTTTTTGCCAGCATGTATAATGTTGGATGTTTTAACGGGTGAAATAATATGCAGGCAAAAATAAAACATACTCTCAGGCCGAGGAAATGAAGTTTGGTTTTACCGGTATAAGAAACACAAGAATGGGCATTTATGGGCCCATAACGAAGGAAGATGCACGGCCCAAAGAAGCCATTCGCCAGTGGCATTCCAGCCTGGAAATTGGAATGCATCGTTAACAGAGGGTTCTCTACTCAGCAAATAGAAGCCTTGAGCATAATTTAACGCAGAATTGGGAGAAGGACCCTGAGGTCAAATTATTTGGGAGAAAGGTCCTCCCAATGTCTCAGTGGCAGAGGGAGGAGGGACTAACAAAGGCCATGGCCTCTCCAATTTTTTTAAATTTTTTTTATATTATATGAGTGTTATATATTTTTGACTCCATTAAAATTATAAAAATTTTGTAATATATGTTTTTTAATTCTCAGCCTCCCTATTCTCAGATCCGAACTCCTCCCTACAATGTCCCCTAATCTAACTCAATCTCTGTCTTATTGTTTCCATATCCTTTATTACCAGCAATGCTCTAGTCCCTATGAAAGAGCTTTCTTCACTTTCAATTTTTCACCTCCACCATCTACGCTGAGACGCCATGTCTGTCCTATTCTAACTCCCATATCCATCTTCTTCTTCTTTTTTTTACCAATGTCATGGGATAAATGCAGGGAGAATGATGGTTAAGGCCTTCAGGGACAGTTAAGTCTCAAAGAGAAAAATAATGTCCCGACAAATTTTTTTAAAAAATCAATTTTAAATATCAAATTTTTAATTATAAATATAATATTTAAATTTTAAATATAACAATTAATTTAAAATTTAAATTTTTATTTATAACTGTTCGAACTTACATTTACAATTTATTTTAGAAAAAAATTGTTGAGGATTTAATTTTTATTTTTGAGAGTTTATTATCATTCTCCCTGATCAAAGTATCAACAAAATGAATTAAATAAATATTATCATTTTATTTTTTAAAATAAAAATTTGAAATTTGAAAATACTCTTCATTTTACTATTTTATTTGTGAAAAAGTATTGAAAAAAGAGATATATAAGTTGAGTAATTAAAAAAGTATTATTGCTAAATATTATTTTTTATTAAAGTGTTTATATTTTTAAATATAAATTTCTTTTTTTTATAATTTGAGATGCACATAGTAGTATATTAAAAGACTTGATTATTGACACGAATGAAATTGTGCAATCTACATTACCAATCCTGTTTAATGGAATAATGACGATTATCGTTATTGTTGTTATGTTTCTTTCTCACACGCGCATGTATATTATAGAATCAGACAATGATAAGCCTAGTATTTATAATATTATTTCAAAAATAGTTATTTCTTTATTAAAAAGAACTGACATGAAAATAGAATTGTAGTGAAACCAAGTGGAGTCCACCAACCCAGAAAGGGTTGGTTGGGTTTGCAGTTTGTAGGTTGATGAATAGCAGTGCGTATTTATTTCTGAGAAGTGAGAGGCCAATTAACAGCCAAAAGTGGCATCACGTCCTTACCATTCTTTGTCTTTTTTATGCCACTTTAAGCATGCCTTCACTATTAGCAACCCACACCTCATAACACATTACAAAAATCCAACAATAACATAATTTAATATAAGATTATGCATAATACTAAAGTCCAATAATAATAGTTTACAAATTTATTTTTTAAAATAAAAATATAATTTTTCAAAAGTATTCCTACATATGTAATCACTGCGTTACAATATTATTTCAATGTAATATTAGAAAAACGTCATCAATAAAAATTTATTTTTTTTAAATTATCTTGTATTTTGAATAATAAAATTTCTCTTAAATTATCTTATAATTTAGAACGGATAGAGTAGTATAATGTATCAATATAATGATGCCTTTTCTTCCTATTAATGCACTCTTCAAAAGAAATATCTGCAACAACCTCAACAAGTATATCCTGGTTTCCATGGTCTTGTTAGTTGTTTTGTATTTCTGTTTCGAAACAGGAGATCCAGTTCAATATAGAATTAGAAATAGGAAGCCCATCTAAATAACTAATTCTATCAGGAAAAAACATAACAAAATAAAAATGATCCCAACAAACCAAATTGAAAGCTCGGATGGACAAGTATACATCCCCAACAGTGAATCAAAATAGAATGTGCAAATTATTGAATCCCGTGTAACATTGAGGAATTTGTAACAAACATTATGGACTATTGTACAATGAATGTAGCATTAGTTTAATGTCCCCCTATACTTCTATTCAGTATAATTTGTTAAGGTCTAATTTTTTATTTTAACTAATGGAATCAGTTGGTGTATTTTAATTGGAAATCCAAAATAAAATAGGGTTGGAGAAAAATTTCTTATTTTGATGTTTCAAAAATAAATTATTTGAGGGAACTTTTACTACAGAATGGCCTTTAGTACGAATTAAATACAGATATTGGTGAGACGACATATTTTTGGCTTGAATTATTTGCACCCAGAATTCAAAACAGGGAAAATAATATCCAAATCTAAAGTAAAAGCTGTTGATTTTGTTTCCTTCATCCAACATTCTGAAAATTTCCTTGTAAACTCCATGGAGCCATCTCTTTTTCCCCCCAGACATCTGATAGCATGACTTTCACTTACGTCTCGTTTTTAAACTATGAAACTAAGTCTGTCAAAATTGTCAGAAACACAAAAAAATGGAGATCCACAATTCTGACAGAGATGCAATGCAAGTGATGAGATGCAGATATTTCAGTACAAGATAAAGTATCTGATGGAGTAATCGTGTTCAAGACAAGCTTTTCCAGTTGCTCCACAACACAATGTGTGAACGGAAATGAACTCAAAAGTAACCTTGACAATGCCAGGCATTCATTCCCTTGTTAATGAATGATGTTATATAATTACTATTTCCTTCGCTAAAAAGATTAACTAATTACCGTGGACGGCGAGCTCTGCCCCGAGTTTTCTCCTCCTACTCCTTGTTCTTCTTTGATCTCCGGCGAGCCACCGTCTCCAACGGCATCTCTTTGCCCGGGCGGCGGCGGAGGAGGGGCAATCCCGCCGTCGATGCAGGAGGAGCATTTGGTCTCGAACCAGCTCTCGAAGTCGTAGCGGGCATGGCCAAGGACCCGACGACCCGAACAGAGCCTGCCGATCATCCCGGCCATGACTCCCAGAACGGTGATGACCGCAAGAACCGCAATAACGGGTCCGACCGATTCGTGACCCGTGGGTGTTGTGTAGGCTTGCTGTAGCTGGGTCACTTGCGCGGACATGTGACTGTGTGAGAACTGAGAAGGTGTCTGTGCCTGAAAAGCGAGCAGATTCCAGGATGCGGAACAGGGGCAGTAGAAGTGGTCAAGAAAACTCGATAGAAAAAGAAGTAAGAATGCTCAATTCGGTTTGTTTTTTGGGGTTTCTATACGTTGTGAGCCGAGAAATGGGCTTTAAACTTTAAAAGCACACGAACTTTGGCACGAATGTGGAAGACGATGGGTACTGAAGATATGTCATCGCCGAGTAAATATTAAAGAAGATTACAACTAAAAACCTGATAAAAAATTATTATCAAATTAGAGTCTTGTCAAAATTTATGTTTTAAATTCAGGAGGGCGCAGTACTATTAAAATTCGCTCAACCGTTAAATCAGTATTTTAATTGATTTAATAAAATATTTTATCTATAATTAATCTGATTCTGATCACAATTTAATTATGATTTTGAGTATTAATCTTTCTACCAATATCTATAGGTTCGAGTACTTTGAATAGCAAGGAAGATAATAAATGAGCAATTGCTGGATGCAGCAAAAGAGTGAAAGTGAGATATACATTTGTGGGACCCAAGAAAGAAAAACAGGAAGGGTATCAGTTTCTGGTCTGGCGAGCATCAAAGAAAGTGTTGGGAGGTGTGAGAATGTCACGTCACATGAAGAGCCAACCTAAAATAGATTGATGCTAGTTGTCAAATTCTAAATAAATACGAGCAAGCAAGGAGGGGGGGGGGGGGGGGACTTCAGGAGCCACGTCCTGAGATCATAAGCTGGTTCATACACTCATACAAGCATCGTTTATTCTCATCGAGTCTCAGAGGTTCAGAGGATGAAGTTCCCAGAGAATCTGTTTATCTCATCTGGGTCATTGTGCCCCTCATTTTGACATGCCTTTTTCGAATTCATACAGGAAAGTAGATGGCATTCAAGTTGGATCAAAAGCTTATGATTGTATTAGAATTGCTTCTTTTTCTTAATGATGCCTTCGCGAATCCCTGATATATAATATAAATGGTTCTCATTTTTTCCGCAATAAATCACAAGCCCGGGATAATGCCGAAAGCAACCAAAAAGTGCAAATTCCCACACATTTAGCTGCCATCTCATCAATCACCAAAAGTGCTTCTTTTTTAAACGAATATTCCCCATGTTTCTTGAACGTCCATTTAAAATCTTTTGCTATATTATTTTACTGGGAGAGAGGGCGATCCAGTTAGAGTTAAAACAACAGGCGAGTAAATATATGATGCAGCTTTTTAGCTCAATTAGCAGCTTTGCGGCTAGGAATTATAGGATGTGATAGTGAAAGCGAAATAATTGTTTTGATTTGAGACACCTGGATCCCTAAATACAATATCTTCGTTTCTATCATTACTTCTGTATGAGACTCTCTCATTTTATCTGTCATCCCTAGCAGATCAATAGGCAGGTTTAAGTTAACCCTGCAGATCAAAGCACAGTAGCATCCTCATTTGCTACTACTGCTTCAACCAGTTCAATAACTTGATTGGGTTTTTATTGCCCCACTACTCTGCTTATATAGATGGACATACATGTACTGGAATCAAATACGGAGATTTCTCAGTGGTGTGTTCGCGCCAGAAGCCGCAGCTCTCTTGTCCCATAACCAGTCATGTCACTTTCAGTCTTATCCCAACTAACATTGTCATTCATTACTTGGGAAGTTTAACTAATATAACCATGTATATGTGTAAGTAATTTGATTAAAAATGGTTGAAGATAAGAGATGATACTCCAAAAGGAAGACCTGCTTTAGCTAAGACCTCTCGCTGATAATAGAAGATTATGTCATTCAACTTCAGTTTCACTGAACCGTGGTGTTTGAATCTTTTCCAAAAAGTTTTGTGTGAAATAAGTAGGGCATTTATCTTTTCCGTCCATAAGGTCTCAACTATCGTGATGAAAAGGCTAGTATAATAGTTTCCTCCATTTTTATATGTAATAAAAACATATATCATACAATTTAAGAAAATTAATAACCATTATAATTATATTTAAAAAAATTAAACTAAAATATAATAATAAATACAAGCATGCATTAATTATTTTTTGTTAATATAAATTATGAGAGATAATTTAAAAATGTGTAATAAATACTTATTAAAATAGGTAATTTGCTCATATTTCATAGCTAGCCTATTAGCGTAGTGGAGTAGAGCATGGCTGAAAATTTAGACTTAATAGAAGCCTTATGAACAGCCATCCTTCAATATGGAGATGTTGGTCATCAAACTAACTATTTTGGTAGCCTATGTTTTTAGTTAATTATCATTCATTTACTCCAATATGACAAAGTTTATGTAATATTTGATGTTGAAGCTGCATATTCAAGAAAGGGTTTATTACTTTCTTGTGGGCTGATTCAATGTTATTTATAGGACCTACAAACTAGGATCAAAGTGTGGTAGCCAATTCATCTAATGATACTGGTCTCACCCACAATGGGATCTAAGGACTTCAAATCTTACAGATATATCC